TTCGGAAAATGATCGGGGTTTCTTTTTATAAGGGGCCCTTTTTTCAACACTTGACATTCAAGTAATGTGTTTTCTTGAACTTTCAATCCAGTTTCAGGCACAGGAATCTTTTCTACCTTAAATTGGCGCATATCTTCAATACCTGCAGGTTGATAAAGTACCATTGCTGTGACGTGTGTGGTTGATTTTCCATCAAACGTATCTTCCATAAAATCATCGTTATCTATAGCGCCATGAATAAGGACACTAGGATCATGAACAATGTTTGAGGGTACCGGTACATCAACTTCATTACTTGTTACAATGATATGCGTCAAAACTTGGTTGTTTAGCTTGGTCAGTGTTTTGTAACTTATGCAGTGCCCTAGCCTGTTCAACACACTTAGAATAAACTTCGATCTCGTGTAGTGGTGAATACATTGCGCCAAAGCTACATGCTTTGGAGTTAAGTCTCGTTCAATAATTAAATTATGTAAATCCATGTACACTGAAATACATTTTTGTTTCAGGTCATCTGTAATTTTTTTGTCTTTTCCTACAACATGGCTAAAAAACGATTCCCAGGCTGGCGTAAACTTAAATCCATCAAAAGCACTACTAATGGCCGAGTCAGTACATAAAAACCCGTTTAAGTTAAACGAATTTTGTTTTGCTTCATTTCGTAATGCCTCGGTGTTGATGCAATTTTCCGATAGATATCTTAATATGCTCAACCAATTCGTTTGGTTTAAAACATGTTTTGAACACAAAGGATGACTTTGACCTATCGGTTGAATGTGAAAAAAGAAGAGAATCCCCATAATGTGAAACCAACAAGTTTTTTGTTACTCTGTTATCAATTTCCAGTTCACCACAGTTACTTAGTTGGTGTAACCGTTCAGTAAGGAAGCTAACTTCAAAACATTTTTCATTTAAAGCTTCGTCGATTTCCGAAATAAGTTCAGAAAAAGCATTGCTTTATCTGTCATGATTTTCATGATCAGATGCCCTCTTTCCTCTCTCATAGCCGTATTCAAGAAAACATTTTTTGTGGTACAGCACGTCTGCCGCAAAAATATCATTAACATCTCTGCAAGTACTTAATCTTACAAAAACTTCGTCTTGCCATTCTTTGCATAATGCTAGTAGCTTTTTAGCTGTGTCTACCTCACTCAATCTAAAAGTGGCCGTTTCACCTTTCTTTTTGTGCTGCTGGCAAAATATACATTTTAAAAAGGTACATTTTGGTATACCACTTCTAGTGTTAGAAGTGCATGGTACGTCTTTATCTTTACTGTCAAAACTTTCATCGTTTTTTTACTAACTGTCAATTATTTTTCGCATCTTTCTAGATTTGTTTTGCTGACATAGGAACAGTAGCAGTTTCTGTGCCATTTTAGCAACTCCTTAGTTTCATCGTTTATCAAAGAGTTTACATTATCTTGTCTGCGATTACTTGCTTCCCTTACTTTCTCTAACGACGATTGCTTAAAATTCTTAATAAACGTACCGTCGTCTTTTTCTTGGCAAAATAGACACAAGCCATAATCAAATGTCTTTGTCTTTTTTTTACATTTAAATCAAACGCCATTTTCATACCCCATAGTAGCAATTTAATAAAAACTGATTATGTTTTCTGTAAGATCTACATTTCCGTACTTCTACAAAGCAACTAAAATTACATGAAATATTTGGAGTTAGTTACGTTCATGCAATTATGTAGTTGTAGTCAAACGTATACTTGATTAAAATACTGTATGGACAACAGACCTTGGCATTAATAAATGGAACCAGCCACAAATCACAAGGACAATACGCAAATCACAATATTCATTTCTAAATTACTCACTAATAAATGGTTAACACTAAAATAATAAAACATCCAAACAAGTCTAATCACAACTTAAGACCGTTTAGTGTTTATTTCGGACACAATAATGAGACAACAATCAAAATTATTTCACGTTAAAATACGAACGGCTGGGTCGCGAGCGACATCCGACGCGCGGTACGCGTGCCTCAATATTGCGTCTAGTAATACAGGGTGTTTTTAAAAGAATGCCGGGATTTGAAACTGTCGTTGCTCACGGACTATTCAAGATAATTAAACGATTTAAAACGTCAAATTAAAGGGAAAAGAACAAAGTTGTTTCCTCAGTCTTTCATACAATTCGGAATGATTTAATAAAATTCATATTTTCATCAATCTTATATGAGCGTAAAACTGGCAATGTCTGTACGCTTAGGGCGATCGGCGGGTTTATCTGATGTCTTGACTGAATCTTTTTCGGCACAAATACTCTATGTTTAACATCATAAAGTGGCCAATTTAGGGGTTTTAAACTGAAGACTTCATCGGGCAATCGATTTTTCCGGGCTTGTGATTCAGAATTGTAGGATTTCTTCGACTATGTCATCGCTTGTTTTTAGCCGGCCAGGTAAATGTATTTTCAAAACATTTCGGTTTCATGAAACTCATTAAATCAGTTTCAAGTTTCTTTATTATCAAGTAGATTTTAATTTAGATTAATTTAGCAATGGATATAAACTCTGCGAACTACAGATTACAATCTGCGCCTTCTGTTGCGCCGTAAATGTCTTATACTGGCGACTGGCGTCAGGCGTATATGGCCTATCACCCTGCAACTGTTTCACGAATGCCAAGGTCAAAGATTCCTCCCTTGCTACACGGGATACAAAAACTTTGTTATTTTAGCTTCAATTTGACGTATAAAACGTTAAGTTACCTTGAATAGTATCCAAGCAATTACCATTTAAAATCCCGGCATTCTTTTAAAAACACCCTGTATTACAGTACTGAAATCAACGTAGCTCTGTTGTTTTTGTACAGATTTCCTTAAACTTGGTGTTGTTGTCCTACTTGTTAGTTTTTCTAACCATAAATAGTTTGTAACATGCCCTAAACAAGCGCAATATTTCCGATATTTAATTTTAAAGTATTTTTAAATTTTATTTTTTTTTCAATAAATGTTGATTAGCGCCTAAAGTATAAGAGATAGAAGAAAGGTTATAATAACCTTTTTGAAAGACAATATATTTAGGCGTAGATAGACGCTTAAACCACCTTTCTATCATTAACCGTTTCAGAGTTAGACGCGGAAACGTAAACCACTGACGCACGCAACTTCCCCCCCTCCCCCCCGAGTTATGACCACCCTAGAAATGCGACATCATCGATTTTTTTCATCTACTAGATGTCCCCAACAATAATCAAAAGTCAAACTTTGTCAGACTTTCAGTGCCTTCTCAACCCGTTTAGCGCCCGGCCTATGTCACCAATATGTTTACACTGTTTACACTATGTTTACACTACATTTTATGTGTGGATATTTATAGGCATGCACTGTATATGCGATACTCCCTGGTGTGGATTAACGTCCGCACGAGTGAGTACTACGACTATCCGCAGTACTTTCCTGATAAGTAGACCAATTCGTAATATACCAAGGCAAAAATGTGGTTCGGATTCCACAATAAACTGTAGGTCCCTTAGTTGCCATTAGCTGTATGGGCTATTAGTTAACAGCTGTGTCTGAAGGCCGGTCTACACGCAAGGATTTACCTTACGTTTTACCTGCGCAAGTAAATCGTTGCAGTCAAATCGTTGCGTGTGTACCGCAAAACTGTGCATTTTTTAGAACTGCCCGGAGACGGAAGACGGAGCGATAAAACTATTGCTGAGAGCATAGTTTTGACAACGTTTTCAGACAAGTCGTTGAGTGTGGACACTGTCATCCGTTTCAACTCTGTCTTCACGCTCTAAACCCCAGTATGCAGCGTTGTCTTCACATGCTGTCAGAGGTATAAGTGTGTTTTTTAATTACGATCGCAGATCTTCGCCAATGTTTCCGTGATTTTATTGTTGAATTCATCGAACTTTCCAGAAGTGTCCTTAATTTATGGAGGGTCAAGAGTAAGGAATATAGTGACTGTGATAAGAAAAAAGACTTAGATACTTTTGAAAAATACAAAGCAGTAGATTCAAACGTGAACAGAGAAACTATTATGAAGTTTGTTGTCTTTTTAGTAACCAACGTCTTGACCATACGAGCGCCGTCGCCTCTCAGACTTATTTCTTTGCTTACTTGTAACACTGGCTGCAGAAATTGCCAACAGGAACACATCTTCCATGATATTACATGCACATACAATGAAAGTTATCACAAAACTGCACTAAAAGTTGGTGCTGAAACCTTTACCGTGTGGACGCATTTCTTTGCAACGACTTGACTGCAACGTTTTACCTGCGCAGATAAAACGTTCGCGAAATCCTTGCGTGTAGACCGGCCTTTAGGAATGTCGGCCTTAGTCACTAACAAGACTACAAGATTGCGCCACTCATCCTACACTCATCTCCATTCATACTTGGCTTAAAATACCTACTTTGTATGGTCGCCATTTAATAAGAAAGTATTAAAGTATTACCATTTAGAAAGGTATAAAAACAATAACAATCAAATCAAAACAAATATATACTTATATGGCAATACATCGCCTAATTTTTTGTTTGCAATCTGGGTGATGACGTCACCAAATGACGGGAATATAGCACCAATGTATTTTCCTTCCACCATGATTGATGATAGTGAATGGTAAAAACAAACACAAATGTCAATGGTAGTAACATAATAAACATGTTTAGTCACAACAGTTTGGCAATATTTATACCAATATTTGCTTCTGAATGTTATTAGTGTTTACTTTCCCATTATCACACAATTTAGTTCCCATTCCAATTTACTCACAATGATATGGTACTTCACCAAAGTGATATAACAACTCATTAAACAGTTTACATGGCTGATGAAACTGGTTCTAAAACACTTCCCAACATTCTGCAACCGATTGTTTGAACCATCCAGGGACACAGAGTTCTTGTGTTGTAATATTACCTACTTACACTTGGTTTCACACTTCATTGATAATCACTTAAAGGTCAATCATCTACTCTCACATCACCCTGTCATTAACTAGCAAAAGTGAGAATCCATCAAACTTACATTTTAAGTTATTGTTGATTCTCTTTGCTAGTTGTTTTATCGTGTCTTGTCTTACGTCAAGTTCTGCTTTCATAGCTGTAACAGAAGAAAAAAAGTTATGAGTAGTGTTTATTTATATACAGCCATGAATATTGTTATATACAATGGTGCAGTTGAAGTTTTACGGCGACATGTAAAACGGGTCACGGTAAAAAAGGAACATTGTGTAATGTTCCTTCATAATCGGTGGTGGCAATTGATTATTATAAGTAAATGGTGGAAGAGGGGGGGGGGGGTTAAACTCCCAAGGTTATATGTATGAAGATTAAATAAATTTATTAATATATATATATTTATATATGCCACAGGCCCCCTCCTAAACGCCCCATGCCCCACTGTCTTAATCAATTTTTTTTTAGGGATAAGTTTGGCAACATAATATGAATTAAGACATCTGGTTCAATTTATACCTGAGAACTTTTCCTAAGTTTTATGTTAGAAATAGGTTTTGATGAGTTGATTGCATGAATGCATTGATGAGACTGCAAGTTAGGCAATTAAAAAAATAAAAGACAGTTGTGGTATATATATATATATACTGTATATACTGTATATAATGTGTTGTTTTCCAGTGTTACATCTTTTATATATTTTATGTCTGCTGTCTTGTAAATTATCAAATTTATTTATTTAGATCTATGAATTTAAATATACAGTAGGATGTTGATTATTGAGCTTTAGTTAAAGTACCGTATCCGACCTTCCGTTTTATACAACCCTCTTTGTGAACAATCAATGACTGTGAAATTGTGCTCTATTTATATTTGGTATGACTGGTATGACCAACGCAACAAGACAAACGTTTTTGGCTCTCCCGACAATAGTACAAATATACACCAAACTGTAGGCTTCTGCACTTGACTGTATTTTCTTATTTTTTTAGCGTTCACATAACTCTGATACCCTGTGGTAAAACAGAGACCTGTGTGTTGATTTAACTTGTATCAATTTACCTTTTTTATTTTACCACACAACAATAGTGGAGTTTTAACTTTGTTAGTTTTGTTTTATGTTATTTGTGATTCAAACATTTTGGGGTTTTAATGGACAACATTAATTTAGAAATAGCCTTTGATCATGGAGAAACTTTACTGATTTAATGATTTTTAACAGGTTTGCAATAGTTTTTACTATTTGCAGTGTTTTCTGACCTTTCCGCTTACATTTTCGAGGCCGGTTTGGGTCGGATATGCAAGACCCAAATTAAATTAAAATTAAATAATTAAATGAAAATGAATTAACTTAGCTGTTAGCTTTGACTTACTTTCGTCTGGTCGAGGGGAGGAGAGGAGGTTTCCATGGAGTGTTCTGATCTCTGCCACATTCTGTCTGATAGTTGCAATCCATTCTCTTGACAGTTTTACCTAAACAGTAAGTATTACTAAGAAATATTAATTAGAATACAATTACTACAAAAAAGAATTGCAAGTAAAGTATACACAGAATGGAGATTATGCAAGAGGAGTTGCACACAGCACACAGAACCTGTGAACCACTGGACCATAACACTCCTTTCTCCAATCTACTACACTATGGTTTTGTGAGAGTATGATATAGGATCTAGAGTCATAATAAGTGCGATAATATGAGTACGTAGTAGACATTTTTAATTTTCTCTACTAGATGCTCAACTATATTTTTGATTTATTTGGATGTGAGTTGGTTCGTTTATTTTGTTTCAAAGCAGGGATCTTTGATGTAAAAGAGAGTCTTAATCAACATATAAATCAAACAAAATTTGTTAACAGCTCAGGAAGTATAATGCCATAAAGTTCATTGTGGGTTCCAAGCATCAAAGATGAGAACAATTTATGTGTCCTCAAAGCTAAATAAGCTAGATTTCAAGATGTCGATGAATGCAACTTGTGCACTGCATAGTATATGTTTTATAAGAAGAATTTTTTCATTTTGTTCATTATATTTTCCTTTGGATAATAGCTCTTCACACCTCTTTACACTTACACCACCTGTTGATACAAGGCACTCATACAGAGGAGTGTGTCGACTGGTAGACAATGTGTTAACTTAACTAATATTACTGTTTTGTTAAAAAAACTCTAAATTTCTGCATTACACTAGCAAACTAATAATGAGAATTGGCTAATAGATCTTAAAGAGACAGCCCTCCTCACCTGACTCACTGATAACAGGCTAACACCACTGTCTATTCCTACAAATGCTTGTATGCAGCTGAGCCTGGGTCAATGAATTATGAAAATACCCCCGCCGCAGCAAACCTGCAGACTAAGCGAATTTCCATTTGACTGATTGGATTTACACTGAAATGTCTACTTAAAAATATAACATTTATTCCCTATTTAAATAGAATTAGTTTAACAAGTACTTAGGTTTGCTGCATCAGGGAGGGTAAAACTGTTTTTTTTGTAAAATGTGAATAGTTAGTAAGAAATAAAAACATTTTCCAAATTTGATCAAAATATGTTCACAAACAAGCAAACTACAACAGTTTACTTATTCTCCATAAGAATAACATGGGAATTTTAAATTTAAAATTTTTTGGAATTTTCTCCGTAACCATTAGGCGCATAATAACGCTTCAATATACTAAATTATTTGTTTTTTTAAGCTCTACAAAATGGTTTGGAAAGAAATTGCTAAATTTTATGTTTTTTGGGTCAAAAATGGGAAAAACCTATTTTTACCCCATAAAACCCCCCGTAAACCCCCGTTCCCATGGTCCGATCATGCTGGATCGCGAACTCGTTTGAATAAACGTAGGTTTACATGTTTGTACAAAATTTAATCAAAATCGGATCATTTTTGCTCGAGTTATCGTGCTGACGGACACATATATATATATATGAATTTTAACGGATGGTGTTTTTGGCCTCTAGGGACCTCAAAATGAAAAAAAAAATCGGTCCTGGGTCCAGGTCTTACCATGAGTACTACGGTAATAGCTTATTCCCTATATGGGAAATTCGCTAAAAAGCATCTTTAGTTCTGACTGAAATATATTTTTCCAGATATGTTTTATTATTCAATTATATAATCCTGTTATTTAGTTTTAAACTTGACATTAACTTTATTAAACTTTTCAGTTAGGCTATGCAATATGTTTCTAGATAATTTTTTTTGGTTCTTACTTTTAAAACTGGTATCTATATTATTAATACGCTATATGAAACTTTGTGAACAACATGGATTTTTTTAAGATTTAACCCCACATAATATACCAAAATGTTCGTCTGTAGGTTATAGTTGTGTAGATTTGCAAACTGACCTTACATGAAAAAGTCCCTTGGGCTCTGCCCCAGTGGCTTAAAGTTGCCACGTTATCCTTATGAAGGACATATTTGCTTACATTATGATCAGCTGGATAATTTAATATTACTGTTTATTTTAGTTGCAATTTAAGGAAGCGTGAGCTACATAAATTTACTGACTTGGTTGAAATGAAATATTTTCTTTTAGCAAATTTCCCTATAGGGGAGTAGCTATTACCGTAGCCGTAGCCGTAGGTCTCATGGTAAGACCTAGGCCCAAGACGGATTTACTTTTTCATTTTGATGTCCCCAGAGGCCAAAAACACCATTCAGTCAAATTTTGATATATGTATATGTACTATATCTATACAGGGTGTTCAAAAAAGGTGGGGACATATTTTACCTAGTGATTCCTTGGGTCAAAAAAAAGAAAATCAAGAATAAATTTTTTTCCAAAATCACTTTGTTAACCAGATATCTGCCATTTTGTGTTTTTTACATAAACATTTTTATTTTTGAATTTTTTCAACCAATCTTTATAAAACTTGGTATGTAGGTTAAGGTAAAAAAGACCAATGTTAGAAAAAAAATTCATCTTTAATCTTTCAAATGATATGCTATTCAATACTATTATTGATATAATACCAGTGAGAAATTACTAATAAACTACAAATCAAATCAAATCAAATCTTTATTCATCATTAAATAACATGAGTTACAATAGATTTTGTCAAAATGTATAATGCAAATACCTTAAAGAAACCTCAAAACATGATTAGACCTACAGCATGAAAGACAATTGGTTTAAAGGTTTTCAGACAATGAAATAAGTAAATAAATAAGCAGTTAAGACAAATGCACCTCGTAAAGAATTATTTTGGTACCTAGCTAAGTTAACTTATTGAATAAATAAATACATAAAACTGGTGTATAATTTTAAAAAGCAGGTACGGGTCCGGTACATAAATAATTAAGATTATCACAGTGGCTCAGGCAAAAGACTAACCTAAAATAAATAAAATATTTGAGTGATAAAACAGGCAAATTTAACAACAGAACATAATAAAACACAATAAAAAAGGTAATAAAACAATAAAACACGGTTTACAGATTTTGTTTTTGCACAGTTTTTAGTGTTAATAATAATTACTTTGATAATCTTTGAGTTGTCTTTTCTAAATTCATCGGAAATTATTACTGTTATTCTTTTTTTAAATAACACCTGTAATAGGTACTTTGCAATTGCTCAAATTTGAGCAACAGGTACACTCTAGTTTAGTTTTAAGAAAGCACTGTTATAAATGTTATAAGAAGATGACGAAGCACCTTACATTTAAAACACTGTATGTTATGTGATATGCCAATAAACATGATTTGATTTGATTTATGATTAACCAAACCTATGCCTTGTCAAACTTAATCCTGTCTAATTAACATACCATACTGTTAAAAGAAAGAAAGTTTTGATTTCAGTTTGTATACACCTACTTGATAACAGGTGGTTCTTTCTAACATCAAGAACAATCGCTCATGCACTCCAAAATTCCAACAGATAATCAAACTTACTTCACTAAAGAAGTGGTCCATGTATCCTGCCTCTTCATCTTGCTCTATGTCGACCGCGTAGTTTGTGATTCCATAGTTTTGGACATCGTAGTCCAGATCCAACTGATCTGCTTCCCATTCTTTGACTGCCTGAAATAACACCGCTTAAATCATAAATGTAGTACAGTAGTTTATTGCTGTTCAAAATGTACAAATGTTAGCATCATTGACATGGCTAGGATAAATATTTCCGCGCTGCATCAAACCTGCAGACTAAGCAAACTTCCTCATGTCTATTTACTCAAATTTCTTTTCAAAACTTATTAGATTCATTACAGATCCAAACAACATTATGTTTAATGAACACTTTAGGTTTGCTGCTACAGGCAATGGAATATGTTTTTTTTTTGGGATAGTGTTAAAAGTATAATACCTTAGACAAAAGAATTAAATATAGACTAACAAAGGATGGTTCCACCACAATGTACCGAGAGCACGCTCAGTGTTCGTCGATTCGCTGCCGTCTTCGACTCACCATCTGCTAACAGCACTACTACTACTACCCTTGTAAACTAAATGCTACCAACGTATCATCAGGACCACTTTTCAATATGCATATGGGTAAATTTAAAAATTCTAAAATCCCGCAATTTTAATGTAAAGAAATTTTTTTTTTATCCCCGGAAATTTTTTAAACACGGAAAATATTAAAACAAACTCCAACTCCCCGGATTCCGGAGGATTCTGGCACTACAGTTGAACCTCTATAAGACGAATTTCAAGGGGTACGGGAAAAATTCGTACTATAGAGGTATTCTTAATAAAGAGGGTCGTTTTATCGAGGTTTAATGCTGCTGTTATTCTTCTTATAGAGGTTTCTCCTCGCTCCAAGTTTTTTCCAAACAATGACTGAGGAAGGAGGAGGGATGGGTGGGGGTTTCATGTTGAGACAAGCTTCTGTTTGTTTTGAAAACTACGTACTATGGAGGTTAAGATTATGATAAATTCGTCTTATAGAGGTCACGTTCGTCTTGTAGAGGTTTTGTGCTAAGAATATTTGTTGTATAGAGGTTAATCAGTCCTAGCCCATGTCACAAACAAATTCGTCTTATGGAGGTTTTTAACTTAATTACTACGTTGTATAGAGGTGTTTTTAGCAATGACCTATATGAAAGTGTCAAGGGGATTAAAAAAAATTCGTCTTATCGAGGAATTCGTTTTATCGAGGTTCGTACAAACGAGGTTCAACTGTACTAGCTCTAATTACCAAGTTGTCATGGCAATGCTTGCTAGCGCTTAACGCTGCAGTGGTGTGCACTGAAACTACACGGCACTCCTAGCGGTGAACGCCGGAATATATGCTAACCGCGGCACTGCTGTCAGTCTATATTTCATTCTTTTGTCTATGATAATAATGAAATAAATTTGTCAAATGTTATCCAAATATATCCATAAACAAGAAAACTACAGCAGTTTACTTTTTCTCCATAAGAATATTATTGGAATTTTAAAAACTGTATTTTTTTTTAATTTCCTTGTCTGTTGTAAAGTTTAATCCTACAAGAACGCTCCTATTTATTGGATTCATTGTTTTTTAGGCTCTACATGATGGCTGTAATGAAAATTAGGCTTTTTAATGTTTTAGGTTAATAATTTGTAAACAGGTTGTGGAAATCTCATAACACACTGTACCATGATCCAAACCTTGCTGGTTCACAAGCTCATTTCCAGCCTGTCAAACACATTCATGCAAAATTTCATCAAAATAGGACAGAAATCACTTGAATTATCATCGATGTTCATCCCAAACATATATACATTAAGTTAAATACGAAATACCCCTATAGTACCCTGAAATTCATATTTGACCTCTGGGAGCATCAATATAAAACAGTAAATCAGTCTGGGTGTAATCCCCCAATAAATATTGTAACAACTGATGCTAATAATAAATGCATTCTATACAAATTTTTAAACATAACATCAAAGTTAATTTTTGTGTGGTTTACTTCTTCTTGTTACTGAGTGAAAATTTAAAAACGTGCGTTTTCAGGAAAAGCACTTTGCAAATTTTTTTCCCCTTTTTTCAAAACTTTTATTATTTTTTTTATTTCATTAACATTTGAAGTTTCATACAATGTCCATGGTAACGCAATATCTTTGGTAGTTTTCTTTTTAAAGAGCATCTTTAGTAGAAAAACACAAAATCCTGTCACGACCATAACGGACGTTTAAATGAATATTAAAAATAGTTAATATTATTTTTATAACTATGTTTTGCTATAAACTAATTTACTTTTATGACCATTATACAATAAAAAGGTCACTGAGCTTTTGGTATGTTTGGTCTTTCTGGAAAAAAATAAAAAAACTCAAAAATGGAAAAAAGCCAATAAAATCTTTTTCAGTTTGTATAACTCCTAAAAACCTTACATGAGACCCGAAAAATCGTTATGTTTGTATAGAGGTGTGCTTCTTTTGTGTATAAAACATTGAAATATGACGATATTTTAATTTTTGAAATTTTTATGATAGAAATCATAAACGTGATAGTCAGGGACAAGCGGTACGGTCGTGAATTGTCTGGAATAATCTAAATCTTTCTAAACAATCCTTCAATTATACTGTTAGTTATAATAAAACTATTTGTTTCAATTGAACTAAACTGTTCAATTTGCAATTATATTAAAGTTATTGTCACGACCAAACACACTATAATCCATAAGGCTGGATTGGTCGTGAAAAAAACCGCGATGGTCGTGAAACTTTGGTCGTGAAATTACGTGTTATTTGGCTCTGTTCTGGCGGTAGCCCTGCACCTCATGTTCGAGGATACAAAGTAGACTTCTAGGTTAATCTAGCAATTGAAATATCTTATAAACAAAAATTAACACCATGTCTACTTAATCGAATGACTACGTACGGTCATGGACACACCAAAATTACAAAAAACACAATCTTTCCTTTATTAATCTTGTAATTCCTCCTTTCAACTCAAAACGACCGGCACTACAATCCTGACGTACACCCCGAACTAGTCTCTAAAACCAACTGACTCCATCGACGCCAGGCTTGCCACTGTCGTGCTCCAAAGTTGAAAATTTTTCCCAAATGGTCGTGATGCCAAATCGAGGGACAGACTTATTTTGTCATGGTAGTCAGTCTGCAATGACAATAAAATTATAATATGCTCCTTTTTTGTAAGTTTAATAACCATTGATGACATAAAAATATGGCTTTATATATTTTGGCATGAATAATTAGTCTAAAAACAGCGTGAAAGTTGGAAAATGTACCCTAGGGACACGTCATGGTCGTGAATTTTGAGACTTTAAAAATACGAAAAAAATACCTAGAACCTATTTAAAACCAAATAAATGTGTGTCACATGTTGCCCCCGTCCCAAAAAATATTAAAACAAATAATAATAAACTACAAATCCAGTATCTACGAAGTAAAAGGCCAGGGACATGAAAACGTACGTTTTTAAATTTTCACTCTACTGCTTTTGTCGACTCATTAGTAAAGCACTATCTTGCATTAAATGCGCTACTATACTGTTGCAATATACTATAACAAATTAGGATGTAGTCTTATAGTATATTTCATCACTAGGGCCTAAAGTGACTCTTTTTGACCCGAGGTCAAGTTTTACGATCGAGGCAAAGCCGAGTTCGGAAAATGAGCTATGGTTAAAAAGACACTTTTGCCCGGGTGGTGAAATATAGTTCGAACTATATTTTTCGTCATATTGCATAATTAATTAACAAACTAAGCTAGTAAACGAAATAGCTTTTATGTAAAGATAACCTCTCAAAACGACTTCCAGCTTTTTTTCAATTCTGCTAATACAAAATAAGCAGCTGTTTCTGTTTAGTAAGTGATTCAATCATTTCGTCTATTACGACTGTGTTACAGTACATTATACCATCGATATGTCGAGCGATCAACAGTAAAAGGCTAATACCTTACCAATCGATAAATAATTTTGATCGATACGAATGCCACAATCGTAATTTTCAACTGTTTACAACAGCTGGTTTTTACTCACTAGAGACTAAAAATGATGTTTACTCTAAAAATGCTACTTTAGACCCGCAACGCATGCATTAAAAACGGCTGTTTTTGCTTCAGTATGACGAAAGCTATTTTTTATAATCTAATAAAAGAAGGAGGAGAACATCACAATCGGCCGGAACCTGTTTCCGATGGTTTTCCTCTTTGTCTTTGACCTTAGCAAGGACAAAACAAGGTCTGCTCTCTTGGATGTCGGCCAACAGTTCCTCGAACACAGGATCAATCCTTGCCTTGCCAATTATGCACTTTGCATTTTTGATACTAAAGCTGCTGGTTTAAGAGTATAATAGGGCGTAGGCGTCAGGACTGTTTTTGTCCAGTGCCGCAACCAATCTTTTCACATTTAGTTAGGTGTAAAACTATGTTGCCATACAATTTATTGGCTTGGCTTGATCATTCGTTAAAGCACTAATTTTTAGATGAACAAATATCTTCATGAAAAAGATACGTCACTTACATGTTTTGATCTTTACTGCTTGGTTTGTAATCCGACAAGGGAGCTAGAAATTTTCTGAGTTCAAACTCCCAAACTATACAGCCTACAGTGTCTACTCATTTTATCTATGCTACTGTCTACAGTACTATACACTTCATATCTGATGGCAGAGTGATATCAGGCTTTCTAGAGAAAGTGTCCTTCCTCTATTGCTGCTGATGAATAAACAAACAGTGATTACTGGCTACCTGGTCTCAACACATCGATAGGAGATGTGATTAGTTATATTAAAACTTTTTTTATTTGTTTTCTTTTTACACAGAATCAACATTTCCTCATTTTTGTAATATTAAAAGTCGCATGATGAATTTCTGAAGCCCTTGAAATCGTAAATTGATATAACCACCAGAACTGAAGTTTACTGGATCGGATCACAAAGTTTTGGGCCTTCTAGTTAGTTTTAGAAATTCCCCAAAAGAGAAATATATATAGCTAGTTTATTAGAATAATTTTCATGACCTCTGTGCTTTTCAGTTTGAGCCTCGACAGAAGATAAAAAAAAACCTCTGGGTTCTAATTTTAGGCCTAATGTATGTTTTACAATAATTAAATAATCTAATTTTTTATCTAAGAAACC